TGCGGATCCAGTTGCATTTCGTCTCTGTCAGAGCTGCGCATGTCGGTGCTGTCACCTGCAGCATTGTGATTTTAACGTTGACACTGCTTTTGACGACTCCTGACCTAATATCCTAATCCTCCTACAAGTACAAGTGCTACCGTGGAGCTGCGATACCGTGGCAGCACTACTCCACAAGTTTGTCTTTGATTCACCAGACAAGCTACACCAAACAAGCGGACGACGACTCCTTGGTGGTGGCAGCAGCAGTAGCAGAAGTAGCAGTGGTAGTAGCAACAGCAGTGGCCACGCTGTCTGCAGTACGCAATCATAGGTAGGCTCCCCAAGCCGAACAAGTTCAGCTCCTGTGCCAGTGCCGGGTGCTTCGGCCGGAAGGCTGCCGCGTGCTCACGTCCTCTTTCAGGGATGCTGTTGCCTGGTTGTGAGATTTCAGACGGTTCAGGGTATTTTCGCTGTGGGGCTCAACATGCAGAGTTCAGAGGCTTTTGAAGTGTCTGCTTAATCAAGCCTGGTGCTGTGCATGTCTCCTACCACGGAGTTCTGGGGGCAGTGTTCATTGTCTGCAAGTCCAGAGTCCTGTGCCCTCCGCCTTGATGGTCCTGCCTAGCATCGCTTCAATCTTTCGGCCAGCTGAAATACACTCGGAGACCTGTCGCAACAGTCACTCAAGCCTCCATCTGACGGAAGCAGCCCACATAGAGATGCCCCAAGAGCTCTTTTGAACGTCCCAGCACCCATCACATTGAAATTGATCTTAGTCATCGGCAGTTGCACCCATGCGTGCCACCAAGGGACGACTCTGGGGCCCAGAGCATCCTTGCGTCGTCGCCCAGCGTGGAGGACCTGCGGATCCAACGCACCGAGCAGTCCTCAGCCTTCCCTGGCATTGTCATGTATGATCCCTCAGCTCCACCACCATCGCTGCCACTAAGACTACCGTTATCATCACCGTCATCAGCATCATAGCCATCATCATCTTCGTCGTCAACATCATCCTCATTGTCAGGATCAGCATCACCATTGGCATGTCGCCATCCTCTTCGTCATCATAGTCATCATCATCACGCTCACGGGTGATGATGATGAAGATGATGATGATGATGATCGAGATGATGATGGTGCGGCTGATGAAGATCAGAATGATGACGATGATGATGATGATGGTGATGAGGAGGAGGATGATGATTATGATGTCATCGTCCCCTCCTTTGTCGCTGTGGCGTAGTAGTGGAACCGGTATTAGTCAGTCGTAGTGATAGTGCCAAAGGTCGTGACAATTGAATGATCGTAATTCGTCAAAGCACGTGACACTCTGCAAGACGAATGCCTCGAACATTGGACAGCGACCAACAGGTGTCTTAAGGTTCTCTTCCACACAGATCCGCTCTGAGAAGACTTTGCACCGAGTTGAGGCAGCAACGGGGCGGGTCTAAAGCATCGTCAACTTATGGAAGACATTGATTGAAGGATGATATGCAAATTGTGTTTGTAGAGATGCAGCACGATCAATCATAGATCCTCCCGGCCATGACCTCGAACAGGCTACTGCTAACACGGCTGGATTCCAAGAAGCAAGCAGCAGAAGAACAACTGGCCACAGGCTGCAGTGTTGAGTTGTGCACAAGCCGGCCGCGAACGGCAGGAGCGAATGCGCGACATGATGGTGGACGAGTCTGCGGCCTGCCTCAAGGTTTGGATGTCGGCTTGAAGGTTTGGGGTTTGCCATTACAAGTGGCCCACAAAAAGGGCGACGTGTCTACCGATGCTTGCTATGGAACAGCAAGGAAGTCCACTGCTTCCACCTCTGCAATTTGTACTGCCCGAAACCGCAGAAAAGGCGTGGTCTAGTAGGTCAGTGGTGCCGTCGAGAAAACACAGAGCGCAAGCAGAAGGACCCATGAGCGGAAATGCAAGAGATGCCAGCAGCTTGAATGTTGAGATGAGAACGACACCCTCTACTCTCTGTGATCCTCAGGTCGTCATCTGGTACACTTTCGACGACAATTTAATCCTTGTCGAGTTGTACTGCTTGATGCAAGTGAAAGTCTGACAGGAAGTGTAAACTAGGCTATTCGAGGCTTCGGGGCTTGATCATTACTTTCGACAACTCGCAGAAGCAGCTGAGGCTATTGAAGAGGCGCCGCAGCGGAGCTCTGATTCCTTCGCCCTGCGCTTATTCCAGGCCATATGTGACGAGCTGGACCATGCTGACGATGACGACCATAGTAAGAGGAAGGTGGGTATGATGAGGACGATACCGATTATCCAGGAGTTAGGACAGTGGCAGGTTATTGACAGAGCTTCACGGGTCCCTCCACTCCACTCCCCATGCCCTATTTCAACCACACTGGAGTCTTTGAGCCTTAAAGCTTCCAAAACCTTGGCTATGCGCCCTCGAATCTTGGACTAAGGCCAGGTTGTCACCCTGAATTTCTACATCTTGAGTTTATCCTCACCAGAAAAAACCCTAGCCTGGGGTGGGCAAACCGGACCTCTCCCTGAGATCCGTTACGGCCCAACCTAGGAGCCCCTACCTCGGGATGGCAATCTCGCAGAGGACCGGTCTTTTCAGTCTGAGGCGCACTTGGGGCTTTACGGTTCATGGACTTGGGTTTCTGCGGTTGAGGGTACAGGATCCTGTGTGGGATTCAGGGCCTTGGGCCTTTAGAGTCTGGAGGTTTGGCTTCAGGCTTGTTGGAAGCAGAGGGCGTCCGACTCCAGGATTGGAGGTCCAGGTTCGAGGTGTGAGTCCGTGGGAGGGGAGGTTCACAACCCTAAACCCTAAACCCTAAACCCTACACAAGTGTCTTCTGGAGTTGAGCTCAGCTTCACGGTCTAGTGTGATGCAGGATTGTGTTCTTCAGCCGAGCTTAACATCGTCTAGCGTGGTTGAGGGCTTGGGTCTACAGCTCGTGTACAGTTGAGAGCCTGCGAGGCTTAAGCTACGGAGCCGGTTTGAAGGAGTTCTGAGTCCCGTGATTCGACATGCTTGGAGGAAGCATTTGTGAACAGACACCGGCAGGCGAATTGGGGAAGCAGAACGCCTACCAGCCCGGTCTGCCTGCAATGCAGCACCCAGAACACACTCTAAACCACAACGAGGCAGTGGGTTATGAGATGCGAAGCAGTCATGACGGGGATGGCCTGTTAGCAAGAGCTTTTTTTTTTCAGAAGCGTCACCATCGCAAGCCTCGGCACAAGGTGGAGCAGCTTACCGTCCTGGGCATCAGTGAGCAGGAAGCGCGAAGAGCCTTGCGTGCCACAGGCAGAGGGTGGTGTCCAGATCCGACATCCGCATGAGCCCTTCCCTACAACCAGCATGCTCCTCAACATCTCTGGTGTTAAATAGCAAGAGACATCCGGTACGACATGCCGGAAAGCGATAGCGAATTTCTTCTGTCTGCCAACAAACAGCAAGGACAGGCAGTCAATGCGGTCTGCTGGCGATGACGAACAGGATAACCAGGATAGGGATGAGGATGACGATGGTTGTGGTGAAGTCCCTAACTCCGTCAAGATGAGGTTTAAATATCTGATATCTGGGTTGCAGCATCGGCCTAACAGCAAGATCACTACGAAACAACACAAGCAGGAGGAGCGAGTTGCTCTGACTTCGCGGCAGCAACAGTCGTAACAATCGTGGTCTGTGGTGGCGGTAGTAGTGGTGCTAGTAGTACTAGTCGTCGTCGTAGTAGTAGCAGCAGCAGCAGCAGCAGCAGCAGTAGCAGTAGCAGCAGCATCAGCAGTAGCGAGTAGCAGTAACAGTAGCAGTAGCAGTGGCAGAAATTAGCGGTAGCAGTAGCACTAGTCGTCCTCGTCGTAGCAGAGCCAGTGACAGTGACAGTGGCAGTGCCAGAGGCAGTGGCAGTAGCGGTGGCAGTGGTAGTGATAGCGGTAGTGGTATTAAGTCTGTTATATTATCGTAGTTGCAGCAGTAGTGGGAATAGTGGGAGTAGTGGCAGTGGCAACGGTCGCGGGAGTAGTCTTTTTTTTCCGTCCGGTTCTCGTGTTGCCATGGTTGCCAGCGGCCATGAGAAACATGATAGCAGGAATGTCGGTCGTGCTGATGGTGGTAAAGACAAGAGTCGCAACATCGATGTCACACCAGAGGGTAGGAATCCTTCAACGTCCAAGCTCGGAGGTGGCGACCTCGAAGCTGCGGCTGATCGACTGCTCCTCTAGACTCTAGACTCTAGATGCTGACCTTCTTGCTTGAAATTATCGGAGCTATGATTCTGATTGTGGTTTTCTGATTTCAGGGTTTTTAGACTGCTTCGTTTCAGGCTTTGGGGCTCAGGTGTAAGACTCACAGGCCTACTTACCATTGCATTCCATACCTCTTTGGGTAGTTAGGGTACCCAGACCAACGAAAGGTTCGAGCCGTAGCGGCAGGGAGATTCCGTCAGTATTTTGCGAAATTGCCTGGACACCGACAACCAGTAGCATGCCTTTTCGGTAGGCGACGCCGTAGCAGCACCATGTAGCCTTTCAGAACTCACGCTTATGCGTTGGTAAGCAGGTCTTGGTATGTGTTGGCGGGTAGAGACGACGTATATCCCTGTGAGATTCAGATGTGTGCGATGAGAAATCGTGAGCTGCCAGCACGCCGCTGCAACACTTGTCTCCATGATTGACGAAGTAGGGAATCACCATCGAGCAGCAAGCAGCCGCAACTTGGCACCGCGACCACAACCTTGCCTTGGTTCTCAGGCGTCAGCATCCTAGCCGCTCAGGCGTAGATTTTTCAGCCCAGGCATTTGTGTTTTGTATCAGTACTTGCCCTTCGGGAACCGATGCCCCAGCATCGCCTTTCTAATTTTACTTCCTGGAATCATCTATGCAAGTATCACCCAGTCTGGCAGCATGGACAGATTCTGGGCCGGCGCAAGAGGAACCCTCACCCTGTTTGCCGGTTAAGCTTGACTCCAGAGACCAGAGACCCACCTCGAACAAAAGACTTAGTTCTCGGTTCTCGATGGAGAGTAGCATGCCGTTCGAGCATGTCCATGGAAGAGCCGACCGAAGCCAGCCCGACAGATCGCGAAGATGACGAGCCGTCAGAGCCGAGAGCGAAGCGCGCGAAGACCGAAGGAAACGGGGATGCGCCCCTGGACGTGAACCCCGACGAATTCAACGCGCAGCTTGCAGAGCTTTTTGGTGAAGATGTTGAGCCGTCAGGCCTGGAAAGGGTCCTTGCAGAAGCGGAAGCTGCGCTTTCCGATGCGGAGTCGGCCGCGAGCTTTATTGTAGATGAGCCCCGGCCACGGGATGAGGCAACTGAGTTTGGTATCTCGCAGGACAAGCTTGACTTGGTCGTAGATATCTTCGGAGACACCTCGGTGTTGAGGCCCATCGTGGAAGACGAGCCAGGTCCCGACGAGGATGCGGTGCCAGCGGCAGTTCATGCTAGCCTGGGCGCCGCCGAGGCCGCTGCTGCATCGTCCTTAAAGCGCGAAGGCCAGGCCGAGGCCGATGCCGAGGACGTGAAGATGCTCCCGGTGCTTCCGGTCATGGACAGCCTTAGCCTTGATCCGGACGTTTTGGAAAAGTCTTACCAGCTGCCGAAGGACCAAGAATATACGGCGAGCCAGGAGCCGGAGCGCTGGCTGCAATTCTACACGTCCGGCTCGGGCTCGCAAGATCGGTCCTGGACAGATGAGGAATACCAGAATGAGGCTCGTTGGCTTTTCCTGCAGCTCTTCAATCCCAAAGGCTATCAGCGTGATCAGACCGAGGACGCCGTCATCCTCGTACTGACATTCCTGCATGAGCAAAGGCTTGAGATGCTTTACATAATTGAACATCTCTGGTGGAAAGTGTCCAAGGTCCTCACGAAGGAAGACCTCTGGAGCATACAGGAGTTTGACTTGCAGTGGCAGCCTCTCTGGACCAGATACCAGCATCTGCAGAAATGGGTCGACAACGTGGAAAAGCTGGGTCAAACCCAGCAATTTCCGGAGTACATCAAGAAAAAGACCGTCCGAGAGGTTGCCGCCTTACTTCCAAGATCTAGTTGCCGATGTCAATGCTGTTGCTTCGCAGTGGAATCACATGAGCGTTCTTGTTCATCGCAGTGAGCAAAGTATGTCGTGTAACTTCATGAAGCAGGCAATGCCGAACCCGGGCTGCAAGCCCCCCTCCTTGGGCAGCCTGCCAGTCCCCATATCATGCTTGCAGTGCCGGAACATCACAGCGGATGGGTCGGACCTTGTGGTTGCTTGCATACTTGGCTTCATTGTTCCTTGATTGGTTGGGGGTTTCAGCCGTAATTCTCGGGGCAGTTGCATTGTGGGTCCGGACATCTTCGAGCATGTCGAGGCTGCAGTTGTCGGGTTTTTGGAGCCTCGCATCTTCGTCTCGGATGAAGAGCATCGACTGTCGCGGAGACCGCACGTGTCGAGGCCGCGACCTCCAAACAGCGGCCATGAGGGCTGCCTAGCATGTTCGACTTGTCAGTTGGCATTTCAGGGCCATGATTTCTTTTTGGTGGAGGGGGGGGCGAGGGGGAAAGAGTGGCAGGGTGAGAAAACTCGGAATCATGTGCCAACCACGCACCGGCGCAAGGTTTGGCGGCACCAAGATGCAGAGACACACCAGAGAGATGCCCAGGAATGGTGGGTCACTCAGCGTCCCTCCGATATAAAGAGGGGTAGCTTCTCGCCTTGACGGAAGCCTGCATTTGGGACTTTCAGTTGCTGGCCCAGGCTGGGTGACTGAGTACTTAGGATTCCCGATTATGAAGTAAGTTTACGGATAAGACGAGACGGGCTTGCCTGAGGGTCTGCAATGTCAGGACACCCTCTAGCACTTACCAAAGGAAGCGTTTTCCTGGCGTTAGCACCCATCATCTTGAATCATGCGAAGCTCAGCAGCATCACAGTATCCCAAGCTCCCACAATGTCTTGCTGTCATGTCATGAGGTTGCAGTCCATGCATCCCGCACAAGCTCCATCTACAGGGAGAGAGCTTGGAGCCAAGATGACGCCTTCTTTCAACCCGTTGTTGGGTTTTTTGCAGCCAAGATGCCTATGTTTCTTCCTGTATTGGAAATGTTCCACAGCCTGCGACCAGGCGTAAGCGTAGCAGCACCTCCGTCGACGCAATCATGGAGATGGCCAGGACTGATCTGGCAAAAGACAGGATTCAATGCCTTTCATTTAAGATTGTCGACCTTCCTGAAACTCGGAACTCTCCGAGAGCTTGTGAAATGCTGAGCCTTTCAGTTTGTAATCTTGAAGTTATAGTTGGGGTTTGGGCTGAACTTCTCTGAAGTCAGCAAAGTTGGCCACTCCATGATGAGAGCCTCTGCGCATCGCAAGTGGAGCCTGGCTCGTCAAGTCCTGTATGATGATTTGTGGAAACGGGCTCAGCCTCGGGCAATCGCCTTTCAGCAAACTGGCCGGGATAAGTCCAATCGTTCTGACAGAGAGCTATAGTATAGTATAGTATAAATAGAAGTTGCTTTACTCGATTATACTCTATTATAACATATCAAATCAAAATGTAATACGATATCAGACTTTGGAGGTTGTCTGGCCCCCAAGGGCGAAATCCCACTCAGCTGGAAGGAAGTCCAAGTTCGACGAGAAGTTGGGCATCGTGGAGCTTCTGGCTCAGTGAGGGCAGAAAGTCAAGTTATATCCTCAAAGCTTACCCGAATTCCAGCGCGCTTACGGCCAAAACCCTGAATCTCCAAGGTGTTGTGGAAACCTTGAGTGCCCGAATAGCATTGTTAAGCCTCGAGGCCTCTTTGGCGCTTTGGCGGTGTTTTTGATCAAGGGAACGGAGGCTCCAGGCGGTAGTGCAAGGCTTTCCCAAGCCATGCTGTCGAGCATCGCCACTATCTGGGTCTCGTCGGGTTCAGGGAACACATGCAAGAGACCGATGAGTCTGGCCGAGGTCCATCGATATCATGTCGCTGCAGGCTTTTGGGATCACGCCTGCGCAGCTTGGGGAGAACCTGCAAGCTGAAAAGCGCACCCCTGAGTTGATTGAGGGGTTCTTTTCAAGCAAATCCTGAGGATGCTGCTCCTGCCTCTCTTCTCTTCCTAGCTACTGGTACTTATGATACCTGCAACTCGTCTGTCTGACTGGTGCTAGTGCTACTACCACCACCACCACGGGCCACCAACACGACGACGACTAGTTCCACCGCCACTGCCACTGCCACTGCTACTACTGCTACTACTGCTGCTGCTGCTGCTCCTGCTACTACTACTACTGCTACTACTACTACCACTACTACTACTCCTACTCCGACTGCGACTGC